AGGGAGTGAAGTGTTTTTCCCCATAGTTCTCCTTAGGGTAATGAGAGGACACAAACTACTAATCCAGGACTGTTGAGTATTCTCCTTTTATTCCCTTTTGTTTTACTATTGTATATATATTGTGTCTCTTTTATTAAATCTTTTTCTGTATATGTTCTGCACCGTTTCTTTTATTAAAGGACGATCTTAAAAATCGTTAAGCTCATCTCTACGCTCTAAATACGAACTTAAAGTATCCTTGCCTCTGTGAAGAGCGCTACTCTATAGTGAATCCTGTCATATTCCTGTCTGGGAGGACAGCGGTATCACAGGCATTGTTTAAGTGTTTTGAATTGTCGCAGCATTTGCTGGGCACGGTTTGTGTTCCGAAAAATACATGGTGGCAGTGGAAGTTTGGTGGGTAAAGGGTTAACTGCGGAGTTAACCAACCCTGGTGACGATCGCTCTCAGTCTGCTGGCCTGAGATTGTGTCCCGCGAGCTGGGAAATCTCTGCGCAGGGTGAGGCTGAGAGTTGTATCGCCACGTCCTTGTGACGCTCACGCTCGGTTCAGACTATTGTATGGTCACGTGGGATTGACGTACAGCGGGTTTTGGCCGGGCGTACGTCACAGGGATCTCCACCTCTAATATTGGAACAGCCTTCAACAAGGGCTGAATGTCTCCTCTGTATTCAGTGTTTTAGTAGACATGATGTGAATGAAGGATGTGCTCTGTAGGAAAGTATTGCATTTGTCTACTTCACTACTCCAGATTCATTGTTCAGCTCAATCAGGAGCAACTCAGTCGCTCAATATTGAATCTACAATTTATTAAGGACAGATTCTTATTTGACATTCAGAAAATACTTTTTTTAAAGGTGAACTATGGGGTCAGGGCTTTTCCCCATAGTTCTCCTTAGGGTAACGGGAGGACACAAACCAGCTCCCGTCACCCAAAGCTGAGTATACCGCTACAGCTCGCGGTATACTGAGACGCCGCAGCCGGAGCGGATCCCGACATCGATGTCGAGATCCGCCCAGCTGCGTGACTGACAGCTGGCTCTGCCTATCTAGAGGCAGAGCCAGCTGTACCCACCCCCTCCCCCGTCCGCTCCGCCAGTCAGCGCTGGCGGATCGGAGCGGGGGGGGGGATGCCGCCCCTCCCCTGTCACGGCAGAGACAAGGAGGAGTCCCAGCAGTGTTAGAATCCTCCTGGATGAGGTGTGAACAGTGTGTGCCCAGTGAGGAGGAGGTAATACTGTCTTCTTATTATAAGAGAAGGGGGTCCCAGCACTCTCTGTGTGGTCTGGATGGGGGGGATCATGTCACCCCAACAAATCACCATCTTCCTGCAAGTCCTCTGATGTGTAGAACATTAGATGGGGAGCTCTGCTGGGGGCTTATTCTCCAGAAAGCCATAACCCAAATGTTATTGTCTCCATAGTCCTTCCTTTTTAAAACCCCAACTACCCTTCCGTATGGGTACAGGGACCACCTACCTCCTATAGGTGTTGATATCAGACTTACTTTCACGTCAGAGTCCCCCAAATCATTGATTGTGTAGTTTGTGTTGCCCATAGCAACCATTTCCATTCTCAAGGGCAACATGACTACTTCTATACAATAAGATTTGGGCCATTTGTGTTTACCTATTGTCTGTCCTTTGTTGTGTTGTCACTCAATTCGTCCTCAACTCATGGCCATATTTCATCTATCGGGACCATCGGTTGAGTTTTCCCGTCGGGCTACAGAAGAAGGTTGTAAGGCTTTTCTTTCATATGGGGATTGATATTGTCAGACTGTTAAAATGGTAGCCAAGGCATATCAACTACCATTACTGGTGAAGAGCGAGCAGCGTTTGGTGTCTTCCAGGACCTGCTCTTGTCTTCTGATGAGTTTCTTGGATCTTGGACCCATTGCCCAGGCATATACAGGGCTTTGTGGTCTCTGTAAGTCTACATTAGAGGACATTTCTGGGTTGCGGTAATGTCATGGCACCACGGTATTACTCAACAAACGGGCAGGGCAATGAGAACCAGAGCTCACAAGAAGTTGTTTGAGTCTGGACTTCATTTAACCTGGCAGAAGCACCGAAGAGAAAGGCAGGAGCGGAGCACAGCTGCTGGAGGAGAAAGGTAAGTTTTATTCCAGCAGACATCGCGGGGGGGAAGGGGAGAC